ACGGTAGTTCAACTAAAGGATGAGCATGAGAAATCTGTAAAAAATGGGAGGGGACCTGTCTTGCCAGATTTTATGACAATAAACGCTTGATTTATTGCAAACTGCGAATCTTGCTGGTCGGTTTCCCAGATGTCGTCTACTCTCTTGTCGCTTGAAAATGCATACGCAGAAATGAGGAGCGCGGCGGATGATTAACCCAGTCACAGTGTAATAAGGTAAAAGTTTCAGCCTCGCGGGCGCTGCCAATCGGTGGCCTCTAATTTCCCCACGTCTGCCTAGACGCACGTGCTACTCCTTTCACCCCTCTAAGCTGGACTTCATTCGATGCTGCCGAGCTTAAGACACATTCCCCATCCTAAGGCTGAATCTGAATCTGCGCCTACTTCGGCACTGAATCCGTGATAACGAACTTTGAACGGCTATGGTGGAATTCCCTCTGGCGAAATGACCGCGGAACAGTCCCGCATTAAATGCATTGATTAGGCGTCTCGAGTTACGATGGAGCGCCCGGAACCGAACATATCGTAAGTCGGGGACCCCCTGTACTTCTTATAAGAATGAAGATCAAATATTGGTTGCATGATCGTGGATTCATGGCGTTTCGTTTCTGTCCACGAAGGAGCTTTTTCTTTCCTTAGTGAATTATGCGCATAATGGAGAAAAGGATGATCAATGCACAGAGAGGTAGGCAGTTTGCAGTAGGAACAGGGACAGTAGTCACAGATTTAATATGCATTAATAAGTTCGCTTTTAGAGTGAGCATATTCCGTAATCAACAGTGTGTCGTGATTTCCTTTCTATCGCTGTGTAGATTTCACAGGTTATATGTTTTATTATTGAAAATATGGCTTTTGTCGGATAGGCAGTTTTTACTGTTAGCAGATTTGCATTAGATTTGATTAGTCGTTTGAAATTTTTGCTTTCTCATAAATTCATGCATATTACACTTGCTAGGTACGTACTCTATATTCGTTAGAAAGACTGGAAGCTTGACAACTGCCAACTATTCTAGTCTGTTACGCATGCTGCAAGCACGAACCAAAGGCACTGTTCCGGACCTTTCTGAGCCCAGTTCAAGGAACTTTTCCACCTCCAAAGTGCGCCTGGATGATTTTGCCTTTGAAGCAAGCAGGTAGACGAATACCATTAGTATTGCCACAAAGTACCAGCAATACAGTTTGCTTATGAAAAACCGTAAGACAGCGTGCATCTGGCACTTCCTTTTTAAGGCAGAGAAATCCTTGACGTGCATTTCTCTACATGAATCCTCTTCCAACTCGTTTAAACTCGTTTAAACTTTAAAATCAAAGTAACTGTGCTCTGCCGCCATCGCCTAATGCAATTATTTGTATATTTGGATGCATTATACGTCTCCTTTTACGTTCAAAGGTTTAATCAGTAAATAATTTCTACAACACAATCTTGACGAAGTGATTATACATAGGCTGCCTTGTAACTTGAGTGTAAGTTTTCATGTTTCCTGTGTTTTGTGACCAGCGTTTCAATCTCATACATTGGACCACCTGGGTATTGATCCCAGTACCTCTCGCATGCTAAGCGAGCGCTCTACCATTTGAGCTAGTGGCCCGTGCTTGCAAAATTGAACACATACTGAACACGTGAATGTCCATTCAAGCTGAAGTACGTTTATCGGTTGCTGATACTTTTCTTTTCCTTACTTGCTCCTAACATCCTGACCTTAGAAGCTCAAATATGATTAGCAGTGGAGAGTGGAGTAAGAAAAGTTTGCTTATCTGATGAAACCTACTTTCGTAGTATTGATAATGACTGTTCTTGATGTTTGCATATAATTTACAAGAGTACCAAAAAGCTTCCGAAACTGAGTCCAAATAAAATGCAATCAGAGCCTCAGCGAAACTTTGCCAAACTTCGCGCAGGCTATACGACCGTGTCAGAGGCCTTCGGCAAGCTGTAACGATATAGCCGAGCCCCAAAACCTTTGGTATGGGAATAACTCTGTTGTTAAAAGTTCTCTTTTTCACCCCGGAGCGTCCAAGATTGTATTCTGCTACGTACCACCACATGTATGAATGTCCTGGTCTGAGCAATACCGACAGCGTGGCCGAGCGGTCTAAGGCGCCAGACTCAAGTGACAGCTTGCCTGCGTTAAGCAGGTCTGAGTGTTCTGGTCAGTGAATACTGGCGTGGGTTCGAATCCCACCGCTGTCAAAGTTTTCCTTGCAAACTACCGATGATGTTACACCCAGTCTTGCTTTGACGGTCGCTTACTTGACAAGTACCATGATAAACAGCTGCTCTTTGTCATTACTTCATACAAGGTTGAATAAAGCTTATACGTATATAAATACTGCGCTAATGTTTCTTTTCCTTAACTTTACGTATCAATTAATTTAAGAATGGCCAAAGCACTTTTCATTCAACGCTGCTGTTGTAGACGAGTCGATTCTGTAAATACACCATATGTGAAAACATACATGCAGGTTACAAGAAGCCGCGTATTTAGCTACTCTTGATATGTTTCAGTGGTTACGGATTCATATAACTGAAGAAGCTTCCCTCAGCTTTTCTGCCCGCTTCTCCTCCGGTTGCCCTAAACGGGTCAAATGCCCTACTATTCATTTTTCTTAGTACAGATACCCCGCGTTTTACGAAGGTTGCTATTAGTTTACATGGACCACGGTTTCGAGAGTTCTCAGGCCAAGAAGATAACCTACCAAACCCGAGCCACGAACATGAACGACATATAAAATCTAGAATAACCTTAGCGCATAGTAAAAGCAGCAGCAATAGGATAAACATAAAAGCCTACATGAAGTAAAGATGATGCACAAGCGGTGTAATTTCATTTCTTATAATCAGAAGGACAGTGAGGGCAATGAAAGTCTGAAATGGTGGGGAGACGCAAAGACCATCTGATGAGACACTGTTGCTCTGTCCGACCTATGTGCAAGCTATTGTAGCCTTTCGCCTTTCTTCATAAAACGAAGCGGCTCTACTATTGTTCAACACGAAAAAGTTGTTTTAAAGTTCAGTCATTAATGCACAGTGTAAACTGCAGCACACGCATACATTGAGGCATTGTTTAAAGAGAAGCTACGTGCTCATGAACTATCACGAGTCATTTCAGTCTGTTCATACAGCGGTGGACTTGATGGCCTTTATAGCGGGAATAATGAACGTAAATGGGCAAGGGAGCAGCGAAAGTGCTAGAACAGGTTATCAACGATGTTTTCAAAAATCTGTTAGGCTTCTTCAAATTTCGGAGAACTTTCTGGCTATAGCACAGAAGGCTAAAGATTTGTCGGGAAGATTGCAAGATACACTCCCGTCGTTCCATGATTTCAATAGATATCTGAGCAACCTCGTTGAATACTTGAATGGTCGCGAAGAGCCATTAAGTCAGCTAATCCATGATATATCGAAAGTGCAACGAATGCTGGGCTTATTTCAAAAAGATACCGAACTTTTAAGCGAAGCCCTTACTGTGACCTTAGCTGAACCACTTTTCAGCGACCAAAAATTATTTATGGCTCACATGAAACATTTGACGACTGTGTACCATGGCGTATACAAATGCTGCATTGGTATGAAGGTGAAAAGGCCATCTGGAACCAAACACACCAAAAGAATCCGCGTTAGCAGCAACGTGAGAACATTGCAGCACAAACTTATATTAAAGAATTTCAAGAACAAAGGAAAATTGGATGTTGAGCGCAGTAGCAAATGCCCACTATTCTTTAATAAAGCTCTTGACGACCTATCAAACTGTGAGAAGCAGCTGGAGCACAAATTTGTGCAAAGACTGCTGGCAGCTATGGTTAGTATACAGAATTTTATGTGTTATCCGTTTGCAGATTGAATCTTCAATTAGAACTGGATTTCTATAGCATAACGCTTTATGAAAAGCTTTGCTTCGATTAGCAGCTATAAAAGCAATATATTTTTTCGTAATCTCATGAAAACTTTTATAGCAGCTGCAACGTTCAGTGGAATTCACATTGGCGTCACAGAAAACGGCAGTCATTGAAGACGCAACGAAATCTTCAGCAATGAATGCCTCCATTATTTGTGAAGAAAGAATGGATGATAATTCTATTTTACGTGAAAGTTTGCTCGCCCTAACGTCAACGGACGAGATGGATAAAATTTTAGCTAATTCGTTATTGACGGAAAACCAAGCTGTGCAGCCTGCTACGCCAGCAGAAGTGAAGTACTTTCAACATGCATGCACTGCTAAACCATCTGTGATTATAAACAATTGCAGGAGTGCTGCTGACACAACCAGTTTCGAGTTTGGAAATAAGGCGACTTTGAATCTTGTACGATCAGACGTGGGCAGTGCTGATGTCAGCAAAATCAAATTGAATGCTGACAGCTTCTTATCGGCGCCAACGCCATCCGCATTTCAAAACAGTCAGTCCACCAAACGAACTTCCGACATTGCCACCAAGAAAGCACTTGGAGAACGTTCAACTACTGTGACTTCCCAAAATAGAGGATATGGAGGAAATTCGATGTCGAAGTTTGCGCACTGTCAGAGCAAAGTACGTACATGCAATGCACAGCGCGGCAAGCTCAGGTGTTGGGATTCTCGAAACATTGCTCCTAATCCTTGCAACACGAAAGTAGAGCCTAATGGGAAGAAAATATTTGCTACTCAGCGAGACGACCATGCAGCGGCTCATGCATTGGTATCCCAAGAT